TTATAGAGGTATAAATATAGGCATCTGTATATGTAAATATATTAATATATAATGATAAGGGATATAGGTCTATGTACATACATTTATATGTTAAGTATCAAGGTATCAGATGGATCATGGGCCTCTAATCAAGTATTCCCTCAAAACAAAAACACGTTCTTCTAATAACCTGGCATTTTGTGTTGCTCCCCTTCCTGACACAATCACTGAAAACAAAATGGGTACATAAGTTAATGTGGTGAAGAAAGCTGATGGTGCCCAGCTATTAGAATATAGTGTCTGGGGTCTTAAAGGCTTGACATTAAACAAGTGATCATCTAGGAGGGAAGCACCAAAGCTCACATGGAAGAAGCACACCAGCCTGTGTGGTCATGAGGTGTTGGCAGGATCATGTGTCAGGCATCAGAAGAGCCAAAACAAATAATAATATTGATACGAATGAAGGGGGATTGGAGTGGAGACCCAAAGCCCATCTGTGGAAATTAGGATAGTCCCTCACAGTAGGGTCACAAGGGTGGCACAAGTATAGCACCAAAGAAACATATAACATTCCTCTAGTTCTTTGATGCTTCCTTCACACCTACCCTCCACCCCACTATCCTGACCCCAGTTCTACTTTACAAATCTGGCTAGACTGGAGCATGTACACTAGTACAGATAAGAGCTCTTGACACACAGAATGAAGGAGAGAAAAACTCCTCAGGAACAATAATGAGAGTAGCGATACCATGAGGGTTGGCAGAAGGTGGGGAGTGAAGTGGTTATTTTGGGGAACCAATTACAATGATTGACTTAGGACATTTACCCCCCCCCCCCAGGGGGACGAACAACAGAAACATGGGTGAAGGGAGACAGCGGACAGTAAGACATGCAAATAAAAATAATTTATAAATTATCATGGGTTCATAAGGGTGGGCAGGTCATGATAGGGCGGTGAAAAAAGAGAAGCTGATACCAAATGCTCAAGTAAAAGAAAATGTTTTGAAAAGGATGGTGGCAACCTATGTACAAATGTGCTTTATGGATTGCTATAAGAGCTATAAGTGCTCCCAATAAAATGATTTACTTTAAATAAAACCACCAACCTAGGATTTAACAGTATATATTTTTTCAATTGGAAGAAAACTTTTAGGGAATTTTGAATCAAAAGAATAAAAACAATACAAAAGGAATCAAAATTACTTTAGGGCCCAATGGCTTGTGTCTTAACCTCATCAAAGCTTCACAATATGCAATTTATAGATGATCCTTTCCTAACAAATCATGGGAGACTTTCCAGCCCTTCATTCCACAAGTATGTGGAACTTAAATAACACACGACTAAATAATGAATTGGTAAAAGAAGAAATCACAACGGAAAAACAGAAAGTACTTCAGGAGGAATGAAAACAAAGACACAATATTCCCAAACCTGTGGGATTCAGCTAAAACAATGCTTACAAGGACATTTATAACTCTGGATGCATATGTAGTTGTGAATTACTTATCGTTTATGGTCTGTTCTATGAAGTAGGATATTTTTTAATTGAACACCATTGGCCACCGTAGGAAAACCTTATGCTTCCACTGCTGACATTTCTAGAGTTGCTGGTGGTAGCTGGTGGAACAAATTTGGCAGTAAAGAGGCTGAGAGGGCAAAGGAAGGAGTGG